CCATTCTCTAGAGGAGAAATATAGCGGGCGGCTGATCTGATGATCGGTAGTTTTCCATGTTTCTTTTTCGGTCAACACTAGGTGAATGACGAAACACACACACGGTATGCGCGCTCTTTCATCTTTCGAATAATTGTCTCCTCCATTCCCATTACACACTTATGTGCACTACACTACCAGACAAGCTGGAATAACAGCCTGGAGCTTAGTTTGATCCGCCTGGGATTGGGCACCGCCGATGGAGACACCTCTAGAGAGAGAATGGAAAGGGATACCTCCAAAAGCCAACTTGTGGATAGGCAAGATACCACGTTCTACTGGGGGAGGAACAACGCCACTGTTGAGATAAAGCGTGCACTTGACTTACAGTACTAACGAGCATAACAGTTGACTGTGCTGGGAATCAAGGAATAAATCAATAGAGTACTTTGAGACACCTCGATGCAAAGGGTTGCAAGTTCAAATCTCCACCTTAGGTACTGTTGATGGGCCCTTATGTTTCATGAGTTGCTTGATGGAGGGCCTCGCACTCTGCTGGCCTTTGCTCAGAGGAGATTGTGTCTAGTGTGTACGTATGGGTTATGACATGGGCGTCGCCGCCGTGGAGGTCGGGAGATACGCGTTCTCCTTATTTTTTGTGTATGGAATATATTGAAGAGACCCTGGTGACATCTCTTTTGAATCGCCCCCCCCCCGCCATAATCTGGTGCTCGTAGGGGCTATGGTTCATTTATTACCCTAAAGTCAGTTAAAAACTTGTGTCGTTCTATGGCTCGCACAATCTGCGCATACTTTCTTGAGCTCTGAGAACCCTCCCTAACTCAATATACACCAAGCTGACTTCAGTTGCGGCTCGTGTTTCAGTTGCGCGACTGCTCAACCGCCGAATAATAAAAAGTCTTAAATACTAGGAGTATAAATTTTCCGTTTAATGTCATTCAATGTTCGCGTTATTGCAGCAATATCAATACGGTAATGACATTATTTTGAAATCACAAAGCCCTTCCAGCGCCTTCTTTGGCGTCTCGTTACAAGCCAGGCAGTGCACCAATGTCACGATCTTAAGCTTATATTGTTTTACTGGCCGTGCGTTCCTATGCGTCATCATTGCTCCCTCGTGCGTGTCCGTACCACAACGATCCTCATAGAATGCGCCACTGGCGTTGAATACATGATTTAGTATATTTCTCGAATTTAATTTGATGTTAAGTTTCTTGACTCAAAATTTACATTTGATGAGTGCACAATTTTTTTGTGGAAAGTTGGCCGCTCTGGAAGGAAATACCTCTTTTGACCTTGGTGCATGCAGACCTTTTTCGTAACTTTTCGGACCATAATGCCTACAAGCTTTCACGCTATAATTATTATTTGTGTAAATTCGGAGTTGTTGATCGTTTTTAAGTCTTTGCGGTCGCTGTTTCCTCCTGCTGCTTGTGAACTGGGACGAACTAATATCATCTCATGAGTACTACTTCACATTTTGAAAAAATAATTTACCTTCATTCTATTTGCTACCTTGCAATCTATTTACTAAAAATAGTATATACATCGTACAATCAATTGGATGAATGTAAAGATTTTTGCAACCTCTGTTGCTATTTTCTGGACTTGCAACGCCTGAAACCCGCAAAACTCAAATTTACAATTTCGAACTTAAGTAATTTTCGAAAATGCAGAGTGCCCCGAAAATAGGACCATCACCACTATCTTTACAGTTCTTTGCTACATACGAGGATACAAATAAGACAAAATTTGAAGCTGGCTCTTGGAAAATTGTTGAAAATGGTACTAAACGCGCAAATGTTTAATCTAAAATTACGCAAAAAGTACTCATATTTTCGAAATCTTGAACTTGACATCTTTTTGAAGAACTTGAACACATTTTTAAAAAAAAATTCAAAATTGCAGTAATAAGAAGACACCAAAAAACTTGAATGTTTGCTATTTTCGAAAAATCGGCGTTTTTAACATAAATGAGACCTCTGCCATTCTCTCAAACGATCTTTACACTATCCAATAAAAAAATGTAATCAAAAACGATGGAGCCATTTTTTAAAATGTCCCAAGGGCTTCATGTGAAGAACACCCCAAAACTAAAATAATGGCTTCAAATTCAAGGAGCTACGACATCAGCCAATCAATTAGGAAATACCAATTTTGGAGAAAATAGGATGAACGGTTTAACCGCTAGCTTGTTCATAGACGAACAGACGTTTTGCAGTCATGAGACTATTTTGTATCAAGACCCACAAAACGGATTCTGGCTACACCATGAGGAGGATTTTTTCTCTAAATTAAGTAACTGGATTTACCACTTTTTCATTACCAGAGCCCGGCAATAAAACGGTTCTGCCGAAAATTCGCCGTTTCTTTCCGCATCACATAACTTTCTCTTCTTAAGAAGTATCTTCGTAGGGCGAGAAAGTAAAAACTATGTGAATAATGTTTGAATACATAGAGAAGGGAAACTAAAGAGTAGGGAGGGGGGGTCTGAGCCACGGGTATTAGTTGAGAGTTAAGTACCATTGAGATTATATAT